TTTATTTATGTATTAACCTACAATGGGTTATTTACAATCATTTGGGTGATGATTACATATCCATTTTACTTAGCTTGTTATATTACTTTAGTTACAGTAGTCTTTGGTCGTTTAGATTCTAATCTTGTTAGTTTTAATAAACTCGTGTATAATTTTAATAGGTTCTAGTCTTTTGAGAACGAGGAGTGAATCTATGGTAAAGGGCCTTGGACATTTGATTTTGATTAGCTGTTCAATCATTTTTTGTCTTCCCGTTGGAAATTGGGGACATTCCCAAAGTACATGATTGATGTCCTGAATTTCGGCTCCACAGGTGCACTCCTTGCTATTTACAATTCCAATATCGGGCCATTATGATCCAAAAAGTTCGAAAATGCAATTTTTACACTGTGTCCGTACGTATATGTGTATGTATGTATGTGTGCGGTAAAGTTTTCCTTCAATTGCTCGCTAATGAATGGATGGAATCGAATCTTTTTTTGCAAATGTAGGTATTGGTGAACCCTATCGATCACCATTAATAAAAATTTAACGCAGCGATTAATCAGATAAGTGGGTTTATTCAAATAATTTGTAATAAAGCGTTTGTTGAAACTTCGCAGAGAAAAAAAGTTTTTGGCTTCTTTTCAAACGGGTGGGAAATCCTAAAGTTTAGGGATGGAGATTCATAAAAACTACAGATGTATCACTAAAAATAAACACCTTACAAATACTTGGTTTTTTTAATGTAAATAATTTCCCCTATCGGGAAGTTGATAACTATTTTTTAGATTCAAATAAAGATTTTTTTTAGTTAAAAATGAAATGATTGTTCAGGCGATGAAGACAATGAATTTATGAACATGTAATAATCCTATTTTTGGATCAGATAAATCGTTTATTTGAAGCTAATAGAGAATTCGTTTGGAACGAATGATTTATATCATTCGAATGAAACATTTTGATAGAAAAATAAATATGATATATAAATTAATTAATCTCAAGAAAATTAAAAAATTATTGTAATGAATAGAAAACTGTTCGTAATTGGTTTCATCAAAATTTTTTACGAAAACGAACGAAGATTCAATTTAAGAATTATAAAGAGATCGTTAAAAAAAATCGAATTGGAAATTGAACAATTCGCGAATAGGAATCGACCCGCACTATTGTGAAATCGTGAAGAATCCTCAAAACGTCACGAGCCAATAACTCGATATTCCCCCTAAATTGTTGAAACTCAATTTTTCTCTCGATATTTCGCCATTTGCCGCCACTCGGCTTCTTTCAAAACTGTCAGGTCCGTTGATATTTGTCCCTTCGAAAAAAAAACCGATCATGAATTCATACCGCCCACTTGCTCCTTTACTTGTTATTCAGTCAATAGAAAATATTGTTCTCCGGACCCGGAGACTAACTGTAGTTGTAGGTTTCAGTCGAGGGGCCAGGTTTATTTACCAACCTGTCACTTTCAGGAATAAAACACGAATTTCTACGTAATTCACTGGAGGAGTCCTCTCTTTAAACTTTTCCACTCGCCCTCAGTTCCAAACTTGTGATTCGTCTAAAATAAATCAGGAGTGCTATTTCAGGGTTTCTTTCTCCTTACATTGTTTTAATTTTTTTTTTTTTAATGGAAAATGCTGGAGGATAGGTGCCATTCCGCACGGAAATAAGTGGAAAATTGCTTTCGTCACAGCGTAATCAATTTATTTTTGCTAATGCATTAGCAATTTGTTTTCGATTGTAGTTTCTATGACGATGTATTTTCAATTGAATTCAACATTGCCACAACATTGCTCCAACGTTGAAATTTTTGCCTTGTCCGGAATTTTTTTTTCATAATGAATTTTTTCAACAACAGATGATGCAATAAATCTCAGATTGAACTCTTAAAATGGCATTGAAAAGAATATTTTAAATCACAATTAGATTCATTAAGGCCCGGGTGTACTATCTTTCGAACATTATCTCGGTGTTTTTTTTTATCTTTCGTCATCTGAAATTGTCAATTAAGTCCTGCATCATGGAGAAGTTTTGAAAAATTATGAATGAATAATAAAAAAAAAGTAGAAAAAATTCTTAATTTTTTCAAAGAGCATTTTTAATTTATATTCAGAATAAGTTGAATAACAAGAAATTGAAAAATAGGGGAGGATGGGGCAAAACGGTCCCCCTTCAATCGTCAATATTTTCCGATTCAATAATCCGATTGGGAAGAGTTAGAGCTCGTTTTGAAGAATGAAAAATTATCTTCAAAATGAAGTTGAAACTGGGAATTTCCACAATGTCATTCACAAGTTATTGACAATTGAAGGGGGGCCGTTTTGCCCCACCCTCCCCTATATCTGATTTACGGTGACAAATGGCGGCCTGTCACCCAATATCGTGCAGGGGGAAGACTGATTTCGTAAATCTTTTCCCACACTGCACAGCGACATTTATTACGGAAAAGGCTCTTTGAAAAAAGTTGTAATATTTTGGAGAATTTTTTAATCACACTTTTATTACATAAAAATGACAGATGACTACATATCACTGTTTTGAAAATTGAGAGCTGTCAACTCCCATGAGAAGTTAGTGTTTTGTTATCCACTATGGAAAATGACCGCTAATAGATAATTTGTCTCAGATATTTGTAATTTCCACTTTTTTCAACTCATTCTGAGTCTTAATTAAAAACGCCCTTTGAAAAATTTCAGAATCTTTTCTATTTTTTTTTTATCATTCTATCATAATTTTCGGGAATTTCTACATGATGTACCACTTAATTGACAATTTTGGATTACGAAAGATGAAAAAAATCCAGATAACATTCGAAAGATAGTACACCCGGGCCTTGAAATAATTATTTTTTCAGTTATCGTCGAACAGCGATCGGTTGAATACATCCAGACATGATCTAAAAATAGAATATTCGAACTCTTGAGGCTAAAAATGTTATGCTGACACAAAAAATACAAAATTTAGTTTTTGACAAATACAATGCTTCAGTCGGAAGCAAAAATGCCGGTTTTCTCAGTGAAAATGCCGGTGAATGTGCGACGGTGCCTTGTGGCTGACAAAAACCGGCGTTTTCACTGAGAAAACCCGCATGGTTTTCTCAGTGAAAACGGCGGCTTTTGTCAGCCCGGAGGCGCCTCACCGGTGGGGCTCAGGCTGAGTAAATTCCAGTGACCTCAGGTCTTTCTACGTTTCCATTTTTTCAGTGCACTGGCATAATTTTTAATAGATTTCTGAGTAAATATTACAGTGTCAGGACAAATTACAAAATAAATATACAAATTTAAAAAAATATACAAATTTACAAATACAAAAAAAAAAATTGAAAAATATAAATTATACAAATTTTTTTTTTATAAATAAAAATAAAAATATATACTTGTCATCATAGACAAGCATGGATATGAAAATTTGGTGTGGAAATTTGAGGCATTTGTTTGTCGGAAACAAATTTGATTGGCAGAATTATATTTTTCTCTCAGTATGGGGACGCACGAACGTGAAATTTTCGCATCACATTCATGGGATAATTTTTGATAATAAGAACGGCAAATTTTACAGTTTCGGCAGAAATTGCTCTCACGTTTAGTAAATTTTCTCGACTCAGCGGCGAAAAATTCACTATTTTCTCACATTTTTCTCACATGAATTCTGCTTCTCGATTACATAACTTGTTTGGTAACTTTCTCCAACTTTTTCTCCGTATAACAACTAATTAATTGACCAATTCACTGACAACCAATAACAATGATTCTGTATTAGCCTTTCAAATACTCCCCATACACTTTCCGCGGGTGATCTATTCCGATGAATTTTTCATTCTCTCTCATTTCAGATATATTTTCCATATTTTCGTACATAAAAATTCCATACTCTATAAATACATTGCGTTCCGCGTAGGCGAGACTCTGACGAATGGCACAGTCACCAAACTGAACGAAAATAAAAGTAAGAACAAAAATGAAAACACGAAGCAGTGAAATGTGAAAAACGTCGCAGTGATGAAATTCGTGTTCGAGATGGGTGCATTTATTTCGCATTGTTTTTCGTCGATGGAAGTAGCATGATATACTCGATATCTTTGTAGTTCCTGCCATCGCAAACCCCAGCTACCGGTGTTTTTCTCCATTCCACCCTCAAGGTATATCGCTGGACGAACTGAAATTGACGCTCGCTTTTGTTTGATGCTTCTTTGTGATCGCGTCTCCTGTTGCATTTTTCTTCACGTTATTTTTTTTCCACCTGATGGAAAGTTTCCGGAAGGATGAAAAGATAAGGTTTTCATCAAAAATATTAAATTTCATTATGGCGAGAGGATGTAATGAAGATAGAGTTTTGAGGGCAAAAAATGAGGGCAAAGGGAGAGTGAGATTAGTAGTCTACAATTTTTTTTCATCTCCTGAAAATAGCGTATGGTACTATCGATCCGACTGGTGGTCATAACCACTGCAGAGCGGCGGTGACATTAATAGAATTCACTGGGCCTTTTTTTGTTCCAGGGAGAACTCGGCGGCACGCGGACGATGACCGGTGGATCGGTGAGGAGCACGAGGAGATGGGCGAGTCTTCGGCAGCATGTGACCAGCGGTGACAGAGGAAAGCCGACTATTGAATTATTGCTGGATCGTGAAACAAACTCAAGGGCACCGACGCCCAGCACTGGACCGCATTCTCCGAATACACCTAGGACGCCTCATACGCCGGTTAAAAAGTCCAATTGGGAGGTTATCGAACATTTTACGGGGGGGCCTAGGCCGTCTATAGTCACGGTGAGTTGACAGAAATGAAGAGTTTGGGTCAGGAAATTTAACGTTTTTAAATTTTTAGTAGTACCGAAGGGCATAATGAAAGGGTACCAACGCCTTTCATTACGTTTTTTAACCTCCACTTTAAAACCACCGCGTGCCTAAAAGTCCACTTTTCGTCACAGCGTGATGATCGACCATTGAGAAAAAACAATAACGCATTTGGAAAAACGAATGAAACATCATAAATTTGGAACAAAAGATCCTCTAATAACACACCTACGATGTCTAGAATGCATATTTCAATAATTTAGTTCGTAAACTTGAGAATGACTTAAATTTGGGATCACAAGTGTTTTAAAAAAGGAGAGAAAAGTCTCCTAATTTCAGACACTACTTTTTCCAGTGAAGCATCCGTCAAAATTAAGGATAAAGATTCCCAAAAATTAATAGTAGATTTAAAACATTGAAGATAAAAAAACTGAAAATTACTGGTATTTTCCTAAAAAGTCAATTTTGTTTTCTCTGTTCTTTCTTTTCACTGGACGATCCTCGAGACCTTCAGAATTATCGAGTATTTCCAGATAGGAGCGTTAGTAAATATATTCGGAAACTTTATAAATATCTGAGGCATTCTGAAGGTCAAGGGACGTTCGAAGGATTGTTTTCTTTTTGATTGTGCTCAGACGGGAGTGTTCGAGGCCACGTGACACATTTCACGAACTTCTTCCACAATTTCTATAACGAGATCGGTTGCGCGTGCTACGCATGCGCCTACTCATCTCCTCACGTAGTGACGCTTCGGTTTCAGTCTTACGCTTACGCTTATTCGAGATTTTCGAGATATTTCGAGATCGATTTCCTTTCTCCTTTTTACGACAGGAATAGGATTGGGAATCATTTATCGTGACGTTCTATATTAATCTTCACAATTTATTCCTGGCTCTCTTGGTTAAATCGGGATTCATTGTTTTCCTACACAACCATAGCATTATTAAAATAAAATGACTAAGGTCGTAAATGACCTGAGTGAGCTTAATTGTTAGCTCAAGAGTATAAATAGTATTCGCTTTGACGAAACACTATTTAACATAGTAATTTTGAGATCAAATGGAAAACTACGACGTGCTGGATGAAAAAGTACGGCGGACGAAATTACAATATGACGGAGTGTGTTGGAAAAATTACTGTTGAACACAGTGAAAATTGACAGGCGGTATGGTAGAAAATGGTGGCATGAAAGTTGAACTTTCAATTGACACCAGTAAAATTTAAGGGGAGACTACTATGAGTTTTAAAAGTCATGGGTTATTGGAGTGAGACTTTTCATACGTTGAAGATCGATTATATAGATCTGAAAACGAATAATTAGTGCGAAAAAAATTTTTTTTTTATTGTTAGTTCGCCCGAAAACGCTTAAAATGCTAAAAACAGTCCAGGGCCTCCAATTTTTGAGCTACAAAAGATTTTTTTTTTCAAAATTTTGGGAAAAATGTGTGGAACAACAATTACGAGCCAGTTTTTTAGAATTTGACTCCTACACAGCTGATTTCGGTTTTTTTCATTTAAAAAAATCACTATTTTTGTAAAAAAATACAAAAAAAGCAGATTTAGCTATATAAGAAGCGAATTAAAAAGAAATTAGCCCGTAATTGTTATTCCACATATTTTTCCGAAAATTTTGAAAAAAAAATTCTCCGTAGCCCAAAAATTGGAGGCCCTGGACTGTTTTGCACAAAAATTTTGTTTGCACTAATTATTCGTTTTCAGATCTATATAATCGATCTTCTACGTATGAAAAGTCTCACTCCAATAACCCACGACTTTGAAAACTCACAGTAGTCTTTCCTTAAGATGATAAACAGGAATTTTTATTTCTTCGGTTAAAAAAATATTCTGTCCCCTTTTCCACTTGAAAATAATTAACTTCTCTCAAGAAAACATGATCTACATATTAAGAAATTTTTCTCCCAATGAGTGAAGATGTGGTTTTCATTCCCATTTGGGAATCTGCCATTTTTTCCTGAACTTATTGCCCCCGGAATTCATTCAGTGCTTGCATTCGTTGAAAGACTTATAGTTGATTATTAGAAAACGCTGTCGCATTCATTGAAAAAACTGTCTTTCCCATTAAGAGTTGTTCTTTATTTGTGTAACTCTCTAGATGGGCGTAGGATCGGAGATTGGTGTAAGTCTGGCCACGACAGGTCGAGAGCCACTGTCTGAATGCGGTCTGAATGCTGGTCTTACGGATAGTGGAAGAACATGCGCCCTGAGCCGCTTTCTCAGCGCCCTTTGTTCGTCACACAGGTTCAAGAATCTCCAGGTAAAACTTTTCACCGTCAAAAAAATTTCTTCCATAATTCCTACGCGTCATGCACTTTCCCCCGCGTCTTCGAGACGATAATCATTATAAACTCCTCGATGTAAACTAGACTAGACGAGGGTGCTGATAATAATTATCGGGATATCTTGGTGGCTGATTGGATTTCAGGAACGCCACCTGCTCTCTAATCAATTTGAGAACACTCTCTCCACGGAAGAACGCTATGACTAAAAAAGAGTTGAAATATGTTAACGAAAAGTGATTTTTCGTTTCGGGGAATATAAATTTTTGGAATTAAAAAAGAATTGAACTGAACAAAAGTTTTTTATACAAAAGAAAGGCAACAAATCGAGTCAATATTACAATATTTTGGGTGATGATTAAAAAACCTTCAATGTTACCGCACGCAGAAAAAAATTCAATAGAAATTACCAGAAAAAAAAACGTAAAAATTAGGGTTCGAAACGTAATCCGCGAGCGAAGTAAAATTCAATGAAAGGTGTGAGTCGGAACTGAAATTGTACGAATCGCCACGTAAATTCTGCGATTTGTTCCGTAAGATTAACCACCAGTCTGATGACTCACCGCTGTGGGGACAAGTCGTTCCGTAATTTTTCCCCAGCGATTGAGAAATTTTACGGAACGGAACGTAGAAATAACTCACCAGCTTCATAAAAATTGTTAAACGTTCAAGATTTTTTTATTTTGAAGGTATAATAAGTCGGAAAGTTTCTGTAAGATTTTACTTCATCAGGAAAAATTACGTGACAATTTCGTATTTTATTCGGTGATGAACCTGAAAATTCGCTGAGCGTTTCAGATTTCTTCTCCTCCATTCCTACAAAAATTGCCGGAAAACAATTCCCCATTGCGGATTACGTGAATCGCTCCGTAATTTTTACTGAATATTTCTCTCCGCGTGGATATATTGCACTTGCGCTGCACAATTATTCCAATCCTGCTTCATTCATTGGTAATTTTCGACCGATTTTTTGCTCTCTAAATGAAAATGCAAAACATTCTATCCGAAATATGATATGCGAGGTTGAAATCAAAGGGATGCGTGACCCGGGCGTGTAATACCTCACGTATCCTCTTCAAAAATACTATTCACTCACGTCAGAAAATCCCCTCACGTTCTCCCGGCACTGCGGTGAAATTTTAACGTAAGAGCGGAACCTGCTTCACGCAGTTTTTTTGCAGATTTTAATCGAAAATGAGAGAGATAAAGAAACATTCTCACTGCAAAGGCACGACCTACATATTTTCTCTGATGGTATTCCTCTCTATTATTAGTTTTCGCGTTTCCTATTGTGGACTGGTGAAAAAATTACATTTGGATTTCAATGGAACTATAATACATTACGAGAAAAATTGCGAATCATGATGGGAATTCCAACAGAATGGAAAATTACTTTTTTCCTCATAGAGAATAGCTGCGCGGAGGAAAAATTGTACGAAAAAATGGAGTGCCACTCGCTCTAAAATTCAGTGGATACGTGTAGACTTTATGGATATCAGCCAAAACCAGAAGGAGCGAGGGAAACCCTTTGTGCGAAAGAGAAGAAAACTTTTTTCAAAGCCAATCTGTTCTCCCCAGCACGATATAAATTTTTAAGATACCCACATTTTCTATGGATATTTCATTCATAGACTGCGTATTATTATATTCTGTGGGCGGGTTGCGCTAACCTGCGCTGTATCCCATAAATATTGGAAAGTATGTTGGGGAGAAATATCGTTGGAAAGAAACAGACAATGCCCCTTGAAATTCTCGTAGAACTGTCAGTTGGTGAAAAGTTTCAGGATCTGTGCCGGGAATTTCACCCAATAATTTTCAATATCGCATTGAAGTTTCGAGCAATTGTTGTACCCAACGTGGGGGGTACTTTTAATTATAGGAGGTTCTAGGCTTGAAGGGATAAATCCCAGCAATGGTTTACGGACATTTAAATAGGAGAATTTGTTACTTGATTGTAATAATTGTGTCATCTGATTGATTACAAAGAGTTTACGACTTTTGCACGCGTCGGAGTGCAGTTCAGGTCTGATCTGCGCAGACTCAATCGTCTCATAAATAATAAATTGATTGTTTATATTTTATCACTTTGTCAAAATAATCCAGTTACACTGGCAAGTGTCACACTGACAATGCTGTATGTCCGGATATTCAACAATAAGGCAATTGATCAAATCTCTGGCATTGTCATCGGAACTCCTATTTGATCGTCGTGTTTCGGACTGTTTGTCATCATTTGATGATTTAAGATATTTATAGCGGAGTCAGGGGAGGTCGAAACAAAATAAAGAAATTTGTGATTTTTTTAATACATTCTTTGATTTTTTCAAAACTCCTATGCAAAATCCCAGATAGCCTGAGAGAATAGGTGAAATACAGGAATTTTTCTAAAAAATGCATTTGAACACGGACTCTCATGGAAATTCAGAAAATAAATATTAAAAATAGAAAAAAAAGTCGCCATTTTTCTGAAATTTTGTACTTGTGGAGCTTTCAAGGAGAAACATAAAAAAATAATTCAAGTGGCCGAGGAGAATTGTTTAGAAGGGATAATCAAAAAACTCGTGAAAAATAGGAATTCTGCGTGGGCAACTTAGAATAGCGACAATGTCGAGTTTAGAAATCGTGCAAGGGTAAGCCCGGCAAATACGAATGTGATGATTTGTGATGATCCATTTCGCTGTGGGAAGGAACATAACAGCTGAGTGAATCAGTCCTGCCAACTTGTACCTCGAACGGCACGACGTTGTCACTTTTTCTATCCATGTTAATTATTTTTCAATTATCCAAAAGACAGGCTAGAAAAATGAAAGAAGGCTTGAAATATGTGGGGAAAAAAAAGAAAAGTTATTGAAAAATATTTCGAACACGAAAATGGTCGAAATAGATTGAAAATTTGTAATTTAAATATCGTTTTTTCAGCGACTGGTTTTCTGCGAGAGAACGATGAATGAAAAATGAGAAAAATTCATAGATATCTCTCTTATACTAAAGAATTTTCCCGACCGATACATTCAAATTTTACATTACCCCAGGGCATTAAGCCGTCCATGTAATTTATACCTTAAAAACATCTAAGCTTGACCGGAAAATAGCTCTGGGGTAATGAACAGATATTTCTCCTTGTATTCTAGATTCCCCTGAGTTTTCAGGAAATTAGTTCAAAATTCCTGAATTGCGAGACTTTTAATGGAATTCCCTGAAAATTGATGGGAATTTGGCAGTGAATATCAATTTTTACTTGAAAATTCATGTAAATTGGGGAATTTCCGGTTTCTTACAATTAAAAGATGGGATTTTCCTTGAATTTTCGGAGAAATTTGAAATTACATTGACTTCTTCCTCTTAAATCGAATTGTAGGTCTTCTTCCGGAAAATTCAGTCCACTTCTTTAACAGTGCAGTGTGCGTGTTCCGCCGTGCTTCTCTTACGGCGCACTATTGCCCAGGCGATCCCTCTACTCCCCTCACACCGATACTTCTCGCGAGCTCCGTACCGCAATGCGTTAAGGATGTCAAATATGCGTCCAATACATTCACGCTCATCTATAATCATACATTCATTTCTACAGGAATTACCTCTTGGGTATTCATTTCCATTTCACATCGCCAACAGATATTGCAATTTCGAAAATTGAAGGTTTTGCATTTTTCATCAGCTTTCAAATGCGCATCGAAATGATTCCATCATCAATTTTTCATGAACACATCTGGGTTTTTCGATTGATGTTTGGACATGAGAAAAAAAGCGAAAAGAAAAAAGAATGGAATTCATACACGATCCTAATGCCTCTCAGTTAAGCCCAGTCGCGACCGTTCAACTACTCAAAATAATAATTTTTACGGTATGAAAAAAGTGAAAACAAGCAGGGGTTCGAGCCTATCCGGCGGAAAGTATGTGACCGTTACACACTGTTAAAAATTTCTTGAAATTTCAGTCACAGTGTCATCTGAGTTTTTGATGTTGTGATTCAAGATTCAAGATTCAACAAGATTTATTAATATGGATAGATATTTACAAACAAGACAAGACAACAATATGGTACAAGTTTATAGATTGAAGATTGAATGATGAAAGTCTCCTGAAATCTCGTTTGGAATAAATAAATCATTCTATCAGTGCATACATACACAGACTTGAGATGTTCACCTCCACTCCATACTCCAAAATTACACTGAGGAAGTACCATAAAAAAACGATGCACTGCGGCGTTTCCCTCATGAGGTGACCAATCTGCAGTCAGAACTATTCTCATTGAAACGAGATGGAACCCAACTAGCTTCAAGAAACTTTGTTGTAACTTAATTTTACCTTCAATGAAGAATCTCCATTATCCTCAATTTGCACCTAACTTGGAATTAAGATCACCCAATCGTGTTCCTCGTTTTTTATTATAAACGACTTTGCCTCGGGGATTAAAACGAAATTTCTCATTTTGAGCTGAATGGATGAGAGAAAGACGTGTCCCTGCAATTAGGAGCCTTTCTGTAAACAGGAAATAATTGCCTGCTGGAAATTGAGGTAAATATCCCTCTCGAAATTCCTATTCATTCGCATGAAGAAATTTGAGTCATGTTCATAGGTTGACATTGACACTGTAGAAGCCTCAAGGGATTCAGCTAAATTCACTGTCAAAGATAGGAAGTAAAACCGAAAAAATAACCTATTACTGAACGGTCTGAGGAGTGCATGGAGACAACTTTTTTAGAAAACATCTAGTGCCAGCACGGGAAAAGAGGCCCAAAATGACGGTCAGGAAAAAATTCCAGGGCTGGCACTAGAAATTTTATTGGGGAAAACGTGAATTTTTCCCCGTATTTCTGTGAAAATTTCACAGAAATCCCCAGAAATTTTACCAGAAATACCAAGAAATTTTACCTTAACAGCACTAGAATTTTCACAGCCGAAGAATTTTTCTAGAAAATTTCTCTCTGTGTGGGATCTAGGGCCGAGAAAAGAGGAAAAATGAATACTTGTAGAA